GAGTGGAGAGCCGGACTCAGGACTTGATCCCAAGACCCTGAGATCATGACCTGAGCTGAACGCAGACGCTTAGCCGACTGAGCCACCCAGGCACCCTTGCCCATTAAAAAAAAAAAGATTTATTTATTTGAGAGAGAGTGCGCACGTTGGAGAAAGAGCATGAGCAGGGGGGAGGGTCAGAGGGAGAGGGAGGAGCAGACTTCCTGCTGAGCAGGGAAGCCCAACGCGGGGCTCCATCCCAGGACCCTGAGATCATGACCTGAGCCGAAGGCAGACACCCAACCAACTGAGCCACCAGGTGCCCAAGAGTTCTTTATATATTCTGGATACAAAGTCCCTGAGCAGATGTATGATTTGCAAATATTTTCTCCCCAACTTCAAGAAATTTTTTAAAAATTTTCTTAATGATGTCTTTTGAAGTGCAAAATTTTTAATTTAAATTTTAATTTAATTTTGATGACATCTAATTTGCTGATTTTTTTCTTTTGTCACTTGCGCTTTTGTTGTTGCATCTTAGATCTCTGCCTACCTCAAGGTCACAAAGATTTTTTTCCCAGGGTTTCTTCAGAGGTCTTATTTTAGCTCTTACGTTTAAGTCTATGATCTATCTTGAGTTAATCTTTGTAGATTGTGAGGTAAGGATCTAAATTCATCTTCTGGCATGTGGATAGTTGATTGTCCCAGAACCATTTATTGAAAAGATTAATTTTTCCCTCACTGAATTGTCTTGGTACCTTTGTCAAAAATCAATGGACCAGAAATGTAAGGGTTTATATTTGACTTTTGATTTTATCCCATTGATCTATAAAGCTATTCTTTTTTGTTGTTTCTTTTTTTTATTTAAAAGTTCAGATATTGGCGCCTGGGTGGCTCAGTTGGTTAAGCATCTGCCTTTGGCTCAGGTCATGATCATAGGGTCCTGGGATCAAGTCCCGCATCGGGCTCCCTGCTCAGCAGCTCATCCGCTTCTCCCTCTAACCTTCCCCCTGCTGACTCGTGGTCTCTGTTTTTCTCATGCTCTCTCTCTCTCAAATAAGTAAATAAAATCTTTTAAAAAGTTCAGATGTAACTTATACACAGTAAAATTCGCCCTCTTAAGTGTAACTTTCTGTGAGTCCTGACACACAGTTCTATATCTACCATCATGACCAAGATCCAGAACAGCTCCATTACCTCCTCACAAGTCCCTGTGCCTTTTGCTATCAACCTGTCTCCCTCCTCCCTGACCCCAGATCTGTCTTTTGTCCTTACGGTCCCACCCCTTTCCGAAAGCCATATAAATGGAATCCTATAGCACTCAGCCTTCTGAGTCTGGCTTCCCCTTCTAACCCCATCCTTCAACATCCAGCTCGATCTTTTCAAAATGTAAATCTGCCTGCTTCTCTGCGCCTCTCCTTAAGCCCGCAGACACTGCAGGGTCTGGCCTCAGCCCATAGTTCCTGCCCGTCTGGACAGACAGGATGGATGGCTCTTAAACCTGGTTTAACCACCTGAGGGCTTGTCAATACCACACATTCCTGGGTCTTGGCCCCGGAGACTGAGATTCAGTAGGTGGGGAGGGGCCCAGGGATCTGTTTTTTATACAAGCCTGAGGAGACGTGGAGGCAGGTGGTCACAGGCCACACTTTAAGAAACACAGCTGAGTCCAAAGCACTTGCCTTTCTCCACACCCGCTCGAGCTTACCCGTGTGGCTTCCTCTGCTTCCTTCTCCTCAACCCCACTCTGCCTCCGCATGCTGCGTCCCCTGCCGCTCAGGGCTTTGGCACCTTTCCTCATCGTGAACAGTACCCCCCCATTCCCACCCATCCAATCTCACCCTTCCCCCTGCTCCAGTTCCCCTCTGCTCGCTCGTCACTTCCACAGAGAAGGCTTCCCCAGCTCTCTGGGTGGGTCATTCTCCCAGCATACTGGTCATCTGTCATTTCTCATTTTTGTGTGACTTTTTTTTTTTAGGGGGGAGGGGCAGAAAGAGGGAGAGAACCAGAGACTCTTAAACAGACTCCACACCCAGCGTGGAGCCCAACACGGGGCTTGATCTCACAACTCTGAGATCATGACCTGAGCGGAAATCAAGAGTCGGTCACTTAACTGACCAAATCACCCAGGTGCCCCTTGTGGGATTCTTCGGTGAACATCAGTCTCCCCAGCTGGGCTGCATGAGGATAAGGGCAGGGTCTGTTTCTGCTGCCCCCCACTTTTCCCCCAGTACCGAGCATGGGGTTTGCATGTAGTAGGTACTTAACAGATACTATTGAATGAAGAAAGGAATCGTCCAGTGCTTTGCACAAGATGCTGTGCCATGGCCCAGGTGACCTCGCCCCCTCCCCCACTTCTTTGCTTAGTCCACTCCTACTGGTTTTTCGAGGAAAACCCCGTTTGGAGAAAGTTGAGGCTGGAGCCACTCCTTGATGGTCCCCCAGGGCAGACCTCTTATCACCCTTAAGGACTGTTTGTTTACCCAACTGTCACCCACTTGAGGTTGGGAGGTGGCCACTGCCTTTGATCTGTGGCTTTCCAGGCCCTCTCCCTGACCCTTGTATTTGGCTAATGCTGGAGGAGAGAGCTAAAGTGATCTCTCGAAGGGGAGTCCCCTGGCACCTGGCCAGAGCTTCCCCTAGATCACTCCTCCCAGTATGAGACCCTGCCTAACCCCTTGTATTTCAGAAGAAGCTGAGACCTTAGACTTTGCAAAGAAGGGAGAACATCCCCCCTGGGTGCCTCTGAGGGCCAGGGTGCAGGCTGGGTGGCCAGACTGTGGCTGGAGGTCAAGGGGCAGCCCCTGTTGCTGGACACCCTTCTGGCCGGTTTCCCTCTTTCTCTGAGTACTCTTTGCCCCATCAGGTGGGACCCAGAGGCCCACATAGGCCCCCAACTTGGCCAATGAGCAGACTCGATTTCGTGAGGAGCATGGGGAAGGGTGAGCGCCCTTTCCCCCTACCTTCCAGCCCCCAGTCCGTCGTCCCCCCCCCCCCCCCACCCGCACGAGGACTCTCGATCTTTGCTCTTGAGGGCTCGCCTGTCTTCCCCGCCTCTCCCCTGGCACCTGCTCCCGGGCTAAGAAGGGCAAAAACAATCCCAGCCGGCGTAGTATCAGGGAGTCCCCGCCCCTCCTCCTATGGTTCCTCCTCCCATGCTTCTACCCCAGGCCCCGCCCCCACCTGCCCGAGATAATTTTAGTTTCCTTGGGCCAGGAGCCTGGACACACAGGGCTCTCCCTCCCCTCAACCCTCACTTCTGCGTCCAAAGTCGGGACACCCTCCTACCACCTGTAGAGAAGAAGGAGTGGATTTGAAATCAAGTCCAGGTATCTGGGGTCCCAAGACAGAGCCGGACTTCAGACCCGGTGTCCTGCTGCTCCTGCTGGGGCTCCTCCAGGTAAGATGACCAAAATCGGTCCCAGCCGACAACCTGCTCCCACCCCCAGCCAGCCACACCAGGGCCCCAGGCTGTGCCCGTGTCAGGGCCAGGAGCTGGCAGGTTGCCCAGGTGGCGCCTGCCCCCCCCCTTTCCCCCCTCAGTGATGGCAGGCCAAGGGCGGGGGCAGGAGGGGGACAGGTAGTTAAGGGCCTGGCGTCTCCCTCCCTAAACCGGTGGCCCCAGCCAGGTGTTCCTACGCACAGGGTCCAGGTAAGGACCCAACGGGCACTTCATCTTGAGGGTGGGGAGCAGCGGCAGGTCCCGGGTCAATATGGAAAGATTCAGCCTCCTGCTGTGTTGCTCCGGCCGCCTCGCTTTCTCTTTTTCTCCAATCTCCCATATCCCGCCCGTTCTCGCCATCTGCCCTCAGTCTTTCCCTATTCTCATTTCCTGTGTCCTTATTCCTTCCTTTCCTCCCTGTAGCCCGCCTCCCCCCGGCCCCCGGACAAAGCAGTTGATGGGGATGGGGAAGGAAGATCTCCGGTCCTCTCCTTCCCGAGACGCGGCTTTCCCGCTGAAACTAGCCCCTCCCCACTTCCCAGAAAGAGAGCTAGGAGGGGGGCAGAACACCGAGGACTGCCTCGAGTCATTCCTGGCTCAGCCCGAGGTTACCCGTTTGAGGTCTTCCCAAGGCTCTACCAAAGACTGACGTCTCCGCGCGGGGGCTGGGGGCACTCTCCAATTTGGAGGGCAGCAGAGGAGAGGGATCCCCTAAATTGTTAGAGCTCGGTCTCCGGATTGTTTGCCTGCTCAGAGCACAGGGTCCTGCCCAACGTAGGGAAGGTGGGGGGCGGGGCAGGCCCGGGGGTCCTTCCTGGCGTCGGAATGAAGGCTCGAAGGCTGGAGGGCTGGAAGCTGAGGGGTGTGCGGCGCAGCGGGGCCTAGGAAAAGTGTGTGTGCGTGTTTGGGGGCCGTGTTTGGAGAAAGACCCGAGTCTGGATCTCCCTGACACGGCGGGGATGGAGAATGCACCTGTCCGCCCTTGGAAGGCCTCCCAACCCTACTGCCCCTCAAGAATGGCCCCTCTTGCTCGCCCTGTCCTAGACCCTGCTCTCCCCTCTACCCCCGATCCTGCTGGGGGAGCCCTCCAAGAAGGCAAGCAGCCTGTAATGATTAACTCCACAGACACAATCTAGCATTCTTCCCAAATTAAACTTTAAGAAAGCTTACCCCCCCTTTTCCCATTGGGCGTTTTTTCCAGAGTGAGGGAGTGGGCGGGGCCTCGGGGTCCTAGGCCCTCCCCCCAACTCCGGGTCACCTAGGGGTTTCCCGCCTCCTCACCTGGGCCCTGCACCCTCAGAACTCCCCCGAAGGTTGAGCCTTCCACTACCCCCCCCACAATAAATCCCGATGGGGGGCGGGGCGTGGAGTGCTGGGCCGGACCCGGGCCTTCTCGCCACGCGCTGGTCCCCCGCCGAGGCCTCGGCCCTGTCGGCCCCTCCCCCTCCCCGGCTTAGCGACGGAGGTGGCCTTGTTTTCTACGGGCCCTGCCACCCGCCCTCGGGGCCAGCCAGGTGGGGCAAGATTCAGGAAGTAAACAAGGAGGCAGGAGGCTGGGAGGGCGGGAAGGAGGGTGGGGCCCGAGCCGCGGGGCAGGGGAGGCCGTTGGGGAAGCGTCGGCTTGCACTTGTAGTGTTGGGGGGACTGATAGATTTGGGGGGTCGGTTTCTTCAACAGAAGCTTTCCCTAGGGCCCCCGTTTGAAAGGTTCAGGTCTCTTGGGAGGGTGTTCCCCGGGCCCCACAGGTGGGACCCGTTCTCCTCCCATCCCATCTATTTGGATCTAACCGCCCCCCTCTTCTTTTGCCTTAGAAGGGTCTGGAGGGCAAGGTGGAGGGATCGAAAGGCCAAACCCAAGTCTTCAGTGGCCCTCCAGCCGTCTGAGGCCGGACTCTGTAATCTGATTCTGATTTAAATCTGCTGCCGACTCCCTGCCCAAACACTGCCCCATTCCTCTTCCCTCTGGGATGGAGTGGGACCCGGCTTTTGGTCTCTGGCTTCCTCTCTGGCTTCTCGGCAGCCCCCCAGGCTCCCTGGAGTGAAGTCACCAGGGCTGGTGGCCAGAGGGTGGATGGGATAGGAGCGGGGACATCGTGTCTTGCTGTTGATGTTCACTGGTGGGTGTGTCCTGCCGGCCCCCCCCCCCAGGACCCTGAGCCCCACCCCTGCCGCTCCCGCCTGGCCTTTCCTCCTGTCTGTCTGTGTCTGTCCTCTAGGGTGTCTCGCTACTCCTGCGCCTGCAGTACGCCTCTGGCCAGGACACCCCAGAGAGTGTGTTGGGAGGACGTCATCCCCCAGGGTTGACTTAGCCGAGTCCTCTGCGCCCACTGAGGCCTGGGTGCTAGGGGTGGGCAGCAGCCGCAGAATGAAAACCTGGTAGGCCCCAGACAGGATAGGGAGCACTGTGTGGTATCTTTGGGTGAGTGAGGGCATCACTGGGAGGTCGGCTGTGCTCCAGATGGGCCTTTGAATCCAGGCCAGGCCTTTTTCCTCCCCTTGGGTGAGGGGGCTCCCCTCCCCCCTGGGCTGGGCGGAGACTACCCGAAGGTCCCGCCTGGACTGGAGGTAGGCCAAGGGTGGGGAGGAGGAAATGACCTCAGAGGAGCTGCAGGCCCCGCATCCTCTTTTCTCCCCCAGCCCACCCCTGCCCTGCGCCTCCCCCAGCCCTCCCGGCCTGGTAGGTTGGGGGTAGGAAGCGGGGAGGCGGGTAGAGGCAGGGCTGTTTGTTTCTCCTAAGCCAGGAAGTCGTGCAGATGAGTCAAGGTTGAGTAGAGAGCCCCAGGCAGTGCTGTCCCGCCCCACCCTGACTCACTTGTCCCCCAGATCCCCTCACTTAAGGGTCAGGGGGCCTGCCCCATCCTGGAGGGTCGATGCCAGGTGCTGTAGGCCTCCTAACAGCACTGGCCTAGGTCTCAGGTTCTCCCAGGGCCTCCCAGGTTCTAGGCCTGCCCAAGGGGTCCTGCTTCCTGTGGAGGACGGGCCTGTGCTGCCTCTGTCCCCAGTGGGCATCTTTGCCCCAGCTCACCTGTTCTTGTCCTAGGTGCCTGTGCAGCACCGGTGGGCGATAGGACGTGGGTGGGACCCTGGCCCTTCCTGGGAGTGCCGGGCCGCTCCAGACCAGTGGATGGATAAGACAGGTGCACGGAATTGCCTCAGAGGCCCTAGCACAGTGCAGGGAGGGAGCCCTTGGGCTGAAGGGGGGAAAATCCAGGCAGGCTGCTCCGAGGAGGTAGCCCTGGCAGTGGGGCTTCAAGAAAGTTGGGCAGGAGAAGGAATCTGGAGAGGGCACACAAGGTTTGGGGGCTGCCGGGGCAAGGGCCCCCAGGCTAGTCCTGTCCTCACTGAAGCTGAGCCTGCCTCCTGCCCTCCTGGTTCCTGTCCTTTCCCACCTCCTTCTCCCCTTCTGTGCATCACTCAGCACTTGGGCAGGCGTTGCCACAACAGGCTCTGGCAACTGGGTCTGGCAGCGAAGCTCTGGAAAAACCCGGGGCAGAGCCCAGAGGAGTGAGTGCCCCATGCTCAGGGCGTGCTCGGAGACCGAGAGTAAACCTCGAGCAGGCTGTGGGGCGCGGAGTCTGTTGCCGCTGCCCGGCTTGTGGTGGGGGGACCCTCTTAGCTCTTCCCCTGGGCAGCGGAAGAGCACTGGACTTGGAGTCCAGACACTGAGTTCCACTCCCTGACTCACCTGTGATGGGGGCAAGAATGTTTCCTTCTCAGGGACTTGCTGTCCCTTTTGCAAATGGGCTCACGCTACCCTTTCCTGAAGGCTCCAGGCAAACTCCAGTTAGAGGGGGGAGCAATAAGGTGCTGTGTCCACTCTGAGGGGCACCTTGGCAGCTGTGTGAAGTCAGGAGGTCTGGGTCCTCTTGGCCTCTGTCCCCGGGACAAGGGCACGAGAGCGGCTGCTTTCAGCCCCCTCTTCTCCCTCAGATGTTATGGAGCTGGGTCTGTCTCCACCTCATCTCAGCAGCTCCCCAGAAGACCTGTACTTGGCCCCTGGGACCCCTCCTGGGACTCCCCCGCCTCCCGATGCCCCTCTGCCTGGGGAGGTGAAGAGGTCCCAGCCTCTGCCCATTCCGACCAGCAGGTACAAGGGGGTAATGGAGCTGAGGAGGGGCTGGTGGGGTGGGGGGGGGGTCAGTGCTGGGTAACACAGAAGCGTGCAGTCAGCAAATTCTCTGCCCCCCCTACCTTGGGCCACAGGAATCTTCTTCGAGAGGAGGAGCTGCGGGCAACCTCTCTACCCTCCATCCCCAACCCCTTCCCTGAGCTCTGCAGTCCTCCTTCACAGACCCCCATTCTTGGGGGGTCCTCCAGTGCAAGAGGGCTGCTCCCTCGAGACACCAGCTGCCCCCATGTGAGTTGTCTTGGGAGAGAGGAGGCAGGAATATGGGGGTGCTGTGGGACTGGGGTGGATATGGTGCCACTTCCGTGAAGGTGGGGGGTTTGCTCAGGAGTCCCTGAGGGTAGAGCAAGCAGGGGAAGGGAAATAACCACCCTTCGCCCTTCCTCAAGTCCTCTGCGCTTCCTGGGCTGCAGGTAGTGAAGGTGTACAGTGAAGATGGGGCCTGCCGGTCTGTGGAGGTGGCGGCGGGCGCTACGGCTCGCTACGTGTGTGAAATGCTGGTGCAGCGAGCTCATGCCCTGAGTGATGAAAGCTGGGGGCTGGTGGAGTGCCACCCCCATCTAGCACTGGGTGAGTTGGGGTGCAGGGGGCTGTCTGGGCGCAGAGGAAAGGCTTCGCACCTTGGGCTGGGCAGGTGGTTCATCCGGGAGGCCTGTCTGCGCTCCGCTGACCCCTGCTTTTTGCCCTTGACCCCAGAGCGGGGCTTGGAGGACCATGAGTCCGTGGTAGAAGTGCAGGCTGTCTGGCCCATTGGTGGAGACAGCCGCTTTGTCTTCCGGAAGAACTTCGCCAAGTATGAACTGTTCAAGAGCTCTCCAGTGAGTGTGTGTGTGTGATGGGGGGTCTGGGCCCTGGGACACCCTGATCCCCGACCTGGGCCTTCAATCCCTGACTCCTGACTCCTTTCGTCCCAGCAATCACTGTTCCCAGAAAAGATGGTCTCCAGCTGTGTGGACACACCGACAGGCATATCCCACGAAGACCTCATCCAGGTACAGGGACACCCCCATCCCGTGGCATGGTCATGATTCCCCAGGATCACCTATTGTTTTTTTGGCCCTTAAGCATTTTGCCTCCCCTCTATGTATGTGGTGGAGAGTCTAGCACAGTGCTGAGTGACTGGACAAGTCAGTTTTCCTGGCTGACCGTCAGTTTCTTCATCTATGAAATGGGACAGTAAACGTATGTGGCACACCTTCTCTCCTGAAGGCCTGTGTGTGCCTGTGTGTCTCCCTGGCCCCTCTTGGCCTCTCACCCCTTCCTGCTTTTTTCTGGCCTCAGAACTTCCTGAATGCAGGCAGCTTCCCAGAGATCCAGGGCTTTCTGCAGCTGCGGGGGTCCGGACGGAAGCTTTGGAAACGCTTCTTCTGCTTCCTGCGCCGCTCTGGCCTCTATTACTCCACCAAGGGCACCTCCAAGGTGAGGTCTTGAGGGTTGACAGCCTCAGCCCCTAGGATATACCATTCCCGGTCCTTCTAGGAGTTGTCTCTTCCCTTATTGGAATGTCTAGATCTTTCTGCCCCTGGGCCCTGACACTCTCCGCTGCTCCTTTCCCTCCCACCTTACCTACCCCAGGAGGTAGTAGTAGGAAAGGCAGTTGAGAACTGCATTTGAGTCCTCGCTCTACTTCTGTTTGCTGTGTGACTTGGAGCACTTTTCTGCTCCTCTCTGAAAGCTCCCCAGCTGGCTTATGGGGAAAATAGTAGGGGGAATAGGGTCTGCCTGTAACAAGTCCTGCCTACCCATGCTGCATAGGATCCAAGGCACCTGCAGTATGTAGCAGACGTGAACGAGTCCAACGTGTATGTGGTGACCCAGGGCCGCAAGCTGTATGGGATGCCCACCGACTTTGGCTTCTGTATCAAGGTAAAGACCCCGGCCGGGCCTGGGAGGGAATGGGAGCTGCTCAGGCCCCAGGATCCTACCTAGGGCTTCTGAGCTCCATCTGGGATGCCCAGACACTTCTCTGCACCCTGCCCTGCCCCACGGAGACAGACATCTGGTCCTAATGGCAGATACGGGACAGGCCGGTTTCCTCTTCCTACAGCCGAACAAGCTTCGAAATGGCCACAAGGGGCTTCGGGTCTTCTGCAGCGAGGATGAGCAAAGCCGCAGCTGCTGGTTAGCAGCTTTCCGCCTCTTCAAGGTGGGAGCCCCGGGAGTGGCATGGGGGGCTGGCCCCACCCCCTGGGTCCCGGCCGAGTAGCTCCTCCCTCAGGAATGAGGGGGCCCTGTAGCCTTGCTCTCTCAGTGTGCTTGGGCCAAGGCTGAGTCCTGGCTCTGGCCTCAGAAAGCTCCTTATCCAGGGCAGAGATACAGTCTTGCTCCCGGGGTGTGCTAGTGGCCGGGGCTTTCACAGCCCAGTCCCCAGCACCTGCTTGACCTCGAGCTCTCTTTCTCCCTCCACTCCGCAGTATGGGGCGCAGCTGTATAAGAATTATCAGCAGGCACAGTCTCGCCACATGCGTCCATCCTGTGTGGGTTCTCCACCTTTGGTGAGTGTGCACTGGGGCATCAGCTGGGGGTGGGCACCTAGGACCCAGCCTGGGGAGATGTGGGCCCTGTTCTGACCCCTCCCCATCCTGTCCCATCTACAGAGGAGTGTCTCTGATAACACCCTGGTGGCCATGGACTTCTCTGGCCATGCTGGGCGTGTCATCGAGAACCCCCGGGAAGCTCTGAGTGCAGCCCTGGAGGAGGCCCAGGCCTGGAGGGTGAGGGGCCTACACCCATGTGCATGTTTGTCCTGGGGACCCTTTCTGTGTATGTTTGTGTGTGTGTGTGTGTGTGTGTGTGTGTGTGTAAGAGTGGGGGAGGGGCAGAGGGAGAGGGAGGGAGAGAGACTCTTAAGCAGGCTCTATACTTAGCGCCGGAGCCCGACGTGGGGCTCGATCTCACCACCCTGAGATTATGACCTGAACCAAAATCAAGAGTCAGACACTAAACCCACTGAGCCACCCAGGCGCCCCCCTCCATGTGGGTTTCCGTAGTATGGGAGGAAGAGAGGGGTAAGGGAGGGCCCCAGGTGCGGGAAGGGGCTCTATATTCTAAAGGTGCGGGGTACTACCCCAGTCACTCTCTGATCCTCTGTGTTCCCCGCTGCTCTGCAGAAGAACCACCGTCTCAGCCTGCCCACCCCAGGCTCAGGCACGAGCCTCAGTGCAGGTGGGTGAGCACCCAGCGCCCCCAGGGGTGGGGGCTGCCGTGGCTTCTCTGAGCATTCCTGGTGGGGGTGGCTAGTGGGGGGGGTCTCCTCCCCAGAATGACTGCCCTTCTGCCTCTCCCGACTCCAGCCATCCACCGCACCCAACCCTGGTTCCACGGACGCATTTCCCGAGAGGAGAGCCAGCGGCTCATCGGGCAGCAGGGCCTGGTAGACGGGTAAGGGGCCGGGCTGAGCAGGCCAACAGACACGGGGCTAGGAGAGACCCTGTGTCAGGGCTGTAGCTCTGGGTCCTCGGGTAACGTGGCCCTGTCTCCTGGCAGCCTGTTCCTGGTCCGAGAGAGTCAGCGCAACCCACAGGGCTTTGTCCTCTCCCTGTGCCACCTGCAGAAGGTCAAACATTATCTTATCCTCCCGGTGAGTCATTCATCCCTGTTCCCCTCCTCAACCCCTCTCCAGCAGCAACCCAGGCCGCCCCCTCCGGCCCCCGGTGTGTCTGGGGTCTCTTCTCCCCCACGCGAGCAGCGGGGACCTGCACCCTGGCGCCTCTCCCTGACCTGCCATCCCCTCCGGCTGTCCCCCAGAGCGAGGAGGAGGGCCGCCTCTATTTCAGCATGGACGACGGCCAGACTCGCTTCACCGACCTGCTGCAGCTCGTGGAGTTCCACCAGCTGAACCGTGGCATCCTGCCCTGCTTCCTGCGTCACTGCTGTACTCGCGTGGCCCTCTGACGGCCGCTCCCAGCGTGGCCCCGGAGGTGCAGAAGCTCGCCGAGGATCGGAGCGCACCCCTGCTCCAGAGAGAGTTTCTGCTTTGCTCCTTTGCCTCCCCCTCAGGCAGAAAGATTCCCCACCCCCCACCTCTTTCCTCAAGAAAAGGCCCTGGGGGTGGCCCTCCCCTCCGTGGAGCTCCTGGGCACTGCCCTGCGGCAGGGCATTGTGGGAGAAATGGGGGCTGCCCAGGTGGTCTGATGCCCCACACTTTGTACAGACTGAGAGGCCAGTTGATCTGCTCTGTTTTATACGAGTGACAATAAAGATTATTTTTTGATACATCTGTGAGTTCTGCTGGTAAGACCTAACTAGCTGGAGTAGAGCAGGGGAGCGGGAGAGGGGGGCGCCAGGCGTTGGTGAATGTGTTGGATGGCTCAGGGCCACGAGTCCTCCGGCCTGGACATTTCTTGAGGGCAGGGTGGTCTTGATCATCTGAGAGTCTCCAGTGTCCAGCAGGGAGACAGGCCAGTAGCTGCTTGTTTAATGAATGCATGTATAAGGGACTGTCATCCAGGTGCCATCTCCTGACAGGGCCTAAAGCTAATGGAGGTAACAGGCCTGGGAGCTGAGTCCCACAGCACGTACCTTCTGCGAGTCCTGTGGGCCAACTGCTCGGATGAGCCCTGACAAACATGCAGTTATGCGTCTCCCACCCCGACCCGGACACACGGCCCAGCACCTCTCCCAAGTCCCCATGACACCCACTGTCAACCCCTCTCCCTCCTGCTTGCTTGCTTGCTTTTTTAAAGATTTTATGTATTTATTTGAGAGAGTGAGAGAGAGCACAAGAGCTGGGTGAGGGCAGAGAGAGCAGCAGACTCTCCACTGAGCCAGGAGCCCAGTAAGGGACTCAATCCCGGGACCGTGGGATCATGACCTGAGCCGAAGGCAGACGCTTAACCGACTGAGCCACCCAGGCGCCCCTCCCTCCTGCTTTCTGTCCTTACAGTTTGCTCCCTCCAGAAGGCCATGTAAACGGGACCTCACGGCACTCAGCCCTCTGAGTGTGGCTTCCCTCTCCAGCCCATCCTGGATGGATGGGAAAGAGGGATCTTTCCAAAATAGAAGCCCAGATGGACCCTGTAGGGTCTGGCCTCTCCCCACTGCCCATGCTGGTCTGTTTTTGTCTAAAGAGTTTTGTCTAAGAATTTTACAGCTCTTAGGTGACAGGAGAGCTTTATAGTAACTATCAAACTGGCAACACCCGAACCTGCCATTTGATCTTTAAATCACAAAGAGGTAGACCTTCTCTTCTGACACGTGAACTCCCAGCTAGGCATTACTTTTGCCAAGAAATAAAACCTCAGTCTCATCCCTTGGATCTAGCTGCTAGTTTGTCAGAAACACAGGGGACAGAGGAACATGTGAAATGACACATGGAGATAAAATTACCCAAATCCAGACTGGGAAACTACAGAGCAGATAACCCAGCTTCTTTGACAACAACAAAATTACAAGAAAAGATGGGGAATCTCTAGCTCTCAAGAAATTCAGACATACATAATGTGTTGACCTTCTTTGATTCAAATCCAAACCAACTGTAAAAAACACTTACGAGCAAGTGGGGGAAATTTGAGCTCCAATGAGGTATTTGATGATAATAAGGAATTATGGTTAACTTTTCAAGGGGTGATAATGGTATTTGTGTGTGTGTGTGTGTGTTTAAGTCTTCATCTTTGAGAGATTCATTCTGAAGTATTTGTAGGTGAAATGATGTCTTAGCTTTGTTTTTAAAATAGCCCCAAGGTGAGGGGAGAGGGTGTGAGTATGGTCATGGGTTGGCCATGAGCTGATAATGGTTGAAGCTGGGTGATGGGTACGTAGGGATTCATTAAATTCTTTAAATTTGTGTAAGCTTGAAAATTCTATAATAAAAAAAAATTTTTTTAAGATTTTATTTATTTATTTGACAGAGAGAGAGAAAGTGAGAGAAGGAACACAAGCAGGGGGAGTGGGGGAGGGAGAAGCAGGCTTCCCGCGGAGCGGGGAGCCCGATGCAGGGCTCGATCCCAGGACCCTGGGATCATGACCTGAGCCGAAGGCAGACAGACTCCCAACGATTGAGCCACCCAGGCGCCCCATAATAATTTTTTTTTTAAATAGAGAATCTCTCCCCCAATCTTTTGAGATTGGGCACAAGGTGGTGGGATCCTGTTTTGTTGGTGAGGAAACTGATGGCTCAGCGAGGAGACCTGCCCCAAATTACAGTTAGTGGGAGAGCCAGGATTTCAACCCAGGTCTGAATACAGGTCTGGGCTGTTCTGCTACCCCTGCCTGGCTGACTTCCAGGTGGAATTCCTAAGTGGCCTGTGGGGGTGGGGTGGGGGTGGTGGTGTTTTCCCCTGAAGAGCCCCTCCCTTCTCTGCAGCCCTGGTCTCTGTCTAGGAGGTTGTCCTGAGGTGACCCTGAGAAGGACCAGCCACCATAGCCAGCCCTTGGGCCAGGCTTGTCACCCCCAACCTTGGGGCTGGGGAACCAGGCCTGTCAGATAGAGGTGGGTAGAGATGCCTCATCCACCCTCCAGCTTAGAACTTTCTAGGGGCTTACCCTGAAGAAATTACTGCAGCCAGGGGTGAGAGGGGTGTAGGTTTTGTTTCTTTTTAGCAGGACTCCCTGAAGAGGCAGGGACCAGAGCAGTCTGCTGCCTGCCACCTGCCATGGTTTCCAGAACCATCCCATCATTGGCTTCTCCATGGGCCTGAGCTGACTGGTGCCGGCTGTGTGACTGGCCAGGGATGCCCAGGGCCACTTCTAAGGTGTGGGTGCTAGGGGTCCATGCTGGGGTAGGAATAAAGGGGCCAGAACGAGCCACATCTTAAGCATGTCCAGGGATTTAGGCTGTATGAAAACAGGACCCAGTGTCTCCTTGTAGCTTGAGGCACCAGGTAGGGGACAATGCCCTTCTAAGTCAATCAGCTAATTAGAGTATGCGGGACAGATATAATTTTCACTTTACAAACAGGAAACTGAGGCTCAAAGAGAGAGACCCACCTGAGGTCTCTCTTTTTTTTTTTTTAAGATTTATTTATTTATTTATTTGACAGAGAGAGAGAGACAGCGAGAGAGGGAACACAAGCAGGGGGAGTGGGGGTGGGAGAGGGAGAAGCAGGCTTCCCGCTGAGCAGGGAGCCCGATGCGGGGCTCGATCCCAGGACTCTGGGATCATGACCTGAGCCGAAGGCAGATGCTTAACCATCTGAATCCCCCAGCGTGCCGCCCCCCCCGCCCCCGCCTGAGGTCTTATATGGAGTTGGAGACAGAGGTCAGACTCGGCCCAGCTTTAGGTGGTGGAACATAGCCCTTCTCTGCCCCTTGTTCTCTGCCCCCTCTGTTCTTAGTGCTGGCTACTGTGAAGGACCTGGGCCACTGGGGACCCTTTGAGGCGGCAGCTGGCTTGACCCTGAGCTGGATATGGGAAATCAGCAGATGAATGTCCTTGCTGGGTGGCTGAGATGTCTGGCTTCTTGGAGGAAAGGCAGCAGCTGAGAATGTGGGGCGCAAGGGCCCCTCAAGGTCAGTTTGCGGAGGGACACAGGGTAAGATCCCCCAGCTCTGAAGACATGGGAAGGCTGTTGTTCTACTGCCAAAAGGGCTGAAGCATGACCCCCAGAGGCCAGAGAGCAGAGGGGACTTCCCGGGATAGCTGCAGTGTGGCTCTTGGAGGCTTGTGATGAAATTTATGATGAAATTCAGGCTGCTGGGAGGGTGGCAGGGGCATTGTGGAGAACATAGAGACTGGCACCTAACATGCTGTCTTTTCCGCTCAAGTTATTGGGTTTGATTATAAAAGTATATGTGCTTATTTTTTTTAAAGATTTTATTTATTTGAGAGAGAGAGTGAGCATGGGGAGGGGCAGAGGAAGAGGGAGAGAGAATCTCAAGCAGACTCAGCGCTGAGTTCGGGCCTGACCTGGGGCTCGATCTCATGACCCTGAGATCATGACCTGAGCCAAAATCAAGAGTCAGCTGCTTAACCAACTGGGCCACCCAGGTGCCCCAAAAGTGTATGTGCTTATTAAAGAACATTTCAGAAATCAGAAAAAGACCTTGGAAAAGAAAAAAGAAAATTCCCTGTCATCTCCCCGAGGAGGACCCAGGCATTGAGAGAGAGTGACACAGAGCCCAATTCCAGGGGGGCTGGCCCTAAATGGTCTGTAGCTCATCCTAGACACCAGCTCCTGGGGCTAGAATGACTGCTGTGAGCCTGGTGCCAGGGTATATAGTTGTCCTTGGCAGCACCACGGTCCTGTAGGAGGAGGTGGCCACAAGGCTGACCTCCCTGCCTGGTCAAGTGTGGAGGGCAGGGAGGGCTGCTGCCAACTTTCTGGACTTTGAGAACAGGTGGGCATGATTCTAGGGACGCCCACCTCCCTTAGGATGCCTTAGGTGGGACATCCAGACAGATAAAACTCTGGATAATTGATGCTCTCCCTGATCCCCAGACATCCTGTTCAGTGAAATCTACACAGCCTCCAAGTTCATGGGTGGAGGGCCTCCTGGTGCCAGTGGAGAGTTCAACATTGGGTCAGTGATCCTGCCTGGTTCCTTCCTTGTGCTCAGTGCCAGGCACCCTGAGGAGGGAGGGAGGGAAGAAGAAAAGGAGACAGGCAAGAGAGACCAAGGCCGTTCGGAAGGATCCTTTCTTCCAGATTGTCTACATAAGCAGTTTTCTACTGGCTTCCTGTAGTCCAAGGGTTACAGCAGGAGTTGGGGGGCAGGTTGGGGTGGGGTTGCCTTTATATCTGGGAGTTCGGCTTCATGGTATAGTTGGAAAAAAGGCTTCCGCTACTATAGGACTGACCTGATCTAGCAGACAGAAAAGAGGGCCCAGAGAGGTCAGGGGTTGGTTGGCCCAACTTGCACAGAGGTAGGGTCTGTGACAGAGTTTGATTTCATGTCCTGTGCTGTTGGCAGAACCTTAGCTCTGGGGCTTGGGGAGTGAGGTGCACAGTGTGGCCTCTTAGGACAGAGGATTCTGAGCTTCCAGCTGGGGTAGGGAGTTGAGCAAGGAGGGAAAAGACATTGGGATCTTGGGGAAGTTGGATGATGCAGACTGGAGTCTAGAGCCACAGAATGGGTGATCCTGGGGGCTGAGGCTGTTCCCCAGGGGTTCTCCATGATCTCCATACAGGTAGGGGTGTTAGGAAGTGGGGGGGTACTATCTGGGCTGAGATGGATTAAGGTCTGAAATTCAATCCCTTGTGGGGCGAACTGTGACGGAAGCTAGCGCCCCTATTGGAGGGCTGCATCTGCTCCACGGAAGAGGCAGGTTTTTCTCTGCTGGGTACCTGGGGGGACTGTTTAGTTAGGGCTGCGTTTTCATGGTGGGCAGTTTGTTTTTACTTGGATTGGGTGTATTTTGGAGTGGTTTAGGGGAGACTGAGGGAGATTGGGAGGCCACCTGCACCTCCCCAGGACTGCCGCCAAAGACGTATTCCTCTGCAATGACCTGCACACCCCGCGCCCCCAATTAGATCCAGGACGTGACAGAAGTGGGTATTCCTACCAGACACTACCGCGATTTTCCAAAGGATTCCAGGGCATCTTCTTGCTCCCAGACCTCTTACACCCATCAGTCCCGATACAGGTTCCCACCTTTTGGTTCTCTTCTTCCAAGCTGAGCCACCGTGTCCCGCACATCTAAGGGACGAGCTGGGGGCTGGGGAAGGGCGGCGGCACGAGTAAGGCGAGATCAGGAGACGGAGTGAGGATCCCGCAGTCGCTCTGCCCCCGCCGCCCGCCCTTCGGCTCCCCCCCACCCCCAACCACCCACCTGGCTGGACTTAAGGGCGCCGAGCCGTCGAGGGGCTGCGGGCGCGGGGGAAGGCCGGCCCGTTTCGCCAGGGGGCGCGCTTCGGGGCCGCAGAGTACGCGCCTCGGTCCCCTGTCCCCACGGAAGGAGGCTCGCGTGGAGCCACAGCCATGGGCCCGTCCTTCGCGAGGCACGGGGTTAGGTTGTTCTCCCCTCGAATTGGTGGGCCGCGGGCCCCCAGACGCCAGGCGGGGAGCGAGGTCCGAGCGCCGCAGCCAAACTTCGCGGGGCCTGGACGGCGAAGGCCAGGCAGGACCTCGTAGGCGCCGCGGGCCGGGCGCTCGGGTTCCCCGGGACCCGCGCCCCCGCCTGCCGACGGCGCCCGAGCCTCCCAGCCGCGCGACGGCAGTGACACCCAGTGGCCGTGCCGGGGAGTGCAGGCGCCGCCGCTCGGTTCCCGCTGTGAAGGTCGACGCCTCTCGAGGTTCCCACTAGTGGTTACGAGCGGGCACCCCCAAGGGAGAAGGCCGCGCTCTGCAGACTGCCCCGCGGGGGCACTTCCCCTTCCCCTCCCCCAGTTTCCTCCTCGGCAGTCGCCGGAGCGCTGGGAGATCCTGCGGGGCTGCAGTGCCCGGAAGGGCGGGGCGGGGCAGAGCGGCGGCGCTGGGCTGTGACCCGGAGCAGTTTCACTTCTGGATCCTACCCCGGTGTGATGGGAGAGCATCTGGGGTGGAGGGGTGGAGCTGGGGGGGGGTTGGAGACACACAGGCGTGCCGAGGGCTGGCCTTCGGGACCCCGGGGGAGGGATGACTTTTTACTCCCGGGGTGTCACGCGCCCCACGCCTCCCTGCATTTTCCACTCCCCCACCCCCCAACGCCATGGGTTCCACTCCGCTGTCCCCCGAGCTGCCGCTCCTCCCCAGCAGCCGCCGCCTCCGCGGGGGCTGCCGACCCCCGGAGAGGCCCCGAGCGGCGTGGGCGGCAGGAGGAGCGAGCTGTGAAGCCGCAGGCAGGGGGTTAGGCTGCGGGCTGCTGAGACGCCGAGCTGTTTCTCAGAAGTGCAGCTGCCCCTCCCCTCACACCCCCCCTCAGCTCCCACCTCGCACCGCACCCCTTCCCCCTCCGCCAGGCCTTCGCTTTTCTCGCCTGGGCATCCCGACCCGGGAATCAGGTGTCTGAGTCCACGCAGAATTAAGAGAACCTGAGCGAGGCCGAGGCCGGGAGTTCAGACCCAGCCTCCGTGCCCATATTCCGAGGCCACGATTCCACTGTCACCTCCCCGTGCCCCACACACCTGGGTGCCAGGATTGGAATTTCATAGAATGGTTTAGAACGCGACCACTTGGGAAAATCATAGGCCGCCCTAACCCTTGCTCCAGCGCCCCACCTCCCTGTCAGTGCCCGAGGGTGGTGGGGGAGAAGGAAGAATTAGAGGAAAGGCCTGGCTGGAGCCATGGGGTTGAGGCCAGGCTTCGTCTCAGTTGGAAGGAACTTCAGAGATCCAGTTCCAGGGAAATATTAAGGCCCAGAGAGGGAAATGAAAGTGCCCAGGGTCACCCAGAGAGTGGCAGGGCTGGGGTTGGAAGCCAGCTGGAGTCTGCACCAGGCTCTACTGAGACTTCAGAGCTTTGCTGGATTCCTTGACTCTGTCTGCCCCCGCCCACGTGCCCGCCGTGGCCCCAGTCTGGGGAGGGTGGGGAGGGTCTGTGAGTGACAGGGAGGTTGAGGTGCTGAGACTAATTCCAGTGACGGTGGGGTGGGGTGGGGATTGACCTGGTGGAAGGACAAGCCTGGGGAGGAGGTGGCATCTGCCCCCTTAGTTCCCACCAGCCACCCCCAGGGCTGTGGTTTATTTGACTAGGCAGCTCTTCTGGGCCAGGGGGCCGGGGGCAGGGGGGAGGCGAGGTGATGGGAAAAGACTGCTTTAGGGCTTCCTGCCCCATCAGTCCTGGGGAAGGGGGGGCAGCTTACATCACCCACAGGCCCTCTAACCTCCATACTTTCCACTGCAGTGCTCTTTCCTTGGGTATATTCACATTCTTCTGGGGGAAGCTCTGTTATTTGGGGGGAAGGGAGGCAGCTGCCTACTTCACAGGTCAAGACAGAGTTAACAAAACCGCAGCAGATTCAACACCCCGTGTCCTTCAGGGACTTTCCATGACACCTTCCTTCCCCCTCTCCCCTAAGCCAGGGAGTACCTCCCCAGAGGGCCTCCCCACCCCAGGTGCAGTGGCTTTTGGCTTTTATGCAAACAACCGTCTGACTGGGAATGCTCTGCAGCCCGAACCCGTGTCCTGGGCCCCATGCGCTCCTCCACCATCCCTCAGGGTTCCTGGCCTTCCCGGAGCTCTCATCTCCACTTTTCCTCAAACTCTGGGTGCTAGGGAATGGGAGGTGAGGGAAGGGACACAGGTCCTTGTCCCCTGCTTGCCCTTGGATGGCAGTTGCCTGCAGGTGGAGGTTTGGGCACCGCATTCTGTGTGATTGGCCTGGTTGTGTTGAGTGATGGGGAGGGGGAGGAAGAGTGTGCAGGTGTGGGGTGGCCTCCCCTGTTAGGCCCACTACCCTCTGAAGTGTCACATTAGTTCCCAGGAATTAGGAAAGGAAGGCTGGAAGCCCATCCAGCCCCGAGCCCAGCACCAGCGAGCCCCAGAGCTCTCTCCGCTGCTCCCTGGCAAATAGGATCAGGTTTCCTGGTCTCCCTTTCTCTCCAAGCTGCTTCTGCTTTGGGGAGGGAGTGGGGAGGAGGAAGGCCACATACCATTCTAAGGCTGAGACTCAGCTACCCAGAGGCCGCTTGGCAATGTATTTACTGTTGTAATACAAAGGCAGGCTGCTACACAATTCCTCTCTCCCTGCCCTCAGTGCCGAGATGGCAAAACCTGCTGGAGGGCCTCCAGTCTGGCGCTGCAGGGAGGAGATGCTGCTGAGCAGAGAGCCAGAGGAAGCTGCCACCAAGCTGGCTCCACCTTTGCTAATCCTAAACTTCAGAAATGGCTTCCTCCTGCCTCTCTCACAAAGAGGAAAGGGAAGGTGTTTTGGAAGATGCTGAGCGGAAAGCCAGATCACCTCCTAGACTCTTTACTGTCGTATTCTAAGAGAGAACAGAAGATAACCAAGACAGGGAGAAAGCTGAATAATCTCTATGCCATTCTCCTAGGACTTTCTCCTCAACACCTTAGGTTTGGGCCTCCAAGTATCTTAAGACTTTTTCTTTCTTCCTTCCTTCCTTCCTCCCTTCCTTCCTTCTTGGAGATTTTATTTATTTATTTGACAGAGAGAGACACAGCAAGAGAGGGAACACAAGCAGGGGGAGTGGGAGAGGGAGAAGCAGGCTTCCCGCTGAGCAGGGAGCCCGATGCTGGGCTCAATCCCAGGAGCCTGGGATCATGACCTGAGCGGAAAGCAGACGCTTAACGACTGAGCCACCCAGGCGCCCCCACTTAAGACTATATTTAAATGCAGCTGGGGCACCTGGCTAGCTCAGTCAGTAGAGCATGTGACTCTTGATCTTGGGGTTGTAAGTTTGAGCCCCAAATTGGGTGTAGAGATTACTAAAAATCTTTTAAAAAAAGTAAAAAAGAAAAAAGGTAAGTGTGGCCGAGTTTAGTGACTGCACTTGAATTTCCCAAATTCCCAAGAAACTTGGATGTTTCTGAGACCCCAGAGGTGAAAAAGCTGGGACTTGCCTATCTTCTAGAGAGAACCCCTGCTGGGAGCAAGGGCAAAGTTGTGTCTTGGAACTGGGAGACCCTGCAGTGTTGATCCTGCCAAATCCAGTCCATAGCTTCCTCGGGTCCCCTTAGTGAACTAAGGGCCAGTGGAACCAGAACCCTACTCTAGGAGTATGGGAGCCAGCAACAGGATGCCAATGGCAGGCTCAGCAAAGCATCAGAACAGATGCCTTATTTCGCTGATAATTTCATTTACCTTGGTACTTAGACTTTAAGAAACAGCCAGAGGGGCTAAATTAAGAAAACAGTCCTAGAGGCAGAATTAAACCCTTCCATTTTCTGACAACTACAAATGATAGGCATGCACAATGACTAATTTTAAACACACCAGTATTTTTTTTTTTATTTTTCAGTGTAAAAATCAAACATGATAAAGAAACCTTGAAAACTATCAGCAGGGTTTTTTGTTTTGTTTTGTTTTGTTGTTTGTTTTTTTGACGTGACAATGCACTCATTATGGTTCTGGCAAGGTTAGCATTGCTACATTTCAGAAGCTGACTTTCTTTAAACAGTCTTTACAAAGTCTTTACACCTTACAGTGCTCCAAATGGTTGGACTCTGGGTAAAACTCAATAGGAGTTAAGAGGGAAGGTCACTGCTGGGCAGGGAGGGCATTTCTGAGAAACCCAGATGAGAATGCTATGAGCACAGGCCGTGACAAAACCACTCGGCAAGGGCTCCCTCCCTTCCTCCTGGGGGGAAGGTCACCCTGAGCCCCCGTGAACCCCCAAACCAGGTTCCCTTCTTCCCCCGTCATTCTGCAGATAAGGGTCATCTACAGACCACATGTGTGGTGGTTTTGGCAACCAGAAATTAAAAATAACCTATGGTTTTTCCAGTAGCCAAAATGATCCCTCACCAAAGCTCATAGACTGAGAACCTGAGCATGCAAAACCACAGTCTGGGTGAAGGGATGTCTGCTTTTCAAATGACCTGCTAATTCTTTGCAACCCACAGTAATTTGGTTTTCTGTGAACCCACAGAAGCAGGCCCATCCAAAAAGGGTTTTGTCTGCTAACCTGGAAAAGTCCTTGTATAAATGAGTCACTGGCAATGGGATCATTTTTAAGGCTGCCCCATTTTCCTAATATTTTAAAATGTTTGTTCTCAGTCTTTTTAGGAGAGGAAGAAGCAAAGCAACTTCAGAAGCTAGGCCCCACAGGCTTGTGAAGAGGTGGGTGACATTATGGAATGCTCTCCAGGCTTTCTAGAGTATCAAGAGGGAGATGGACAACAGATGGTCAAGAGACAAATGGACCATTTGAGGAGACTCTAAGTTACTCAGGGAGTTAATAATTGAGAGCTCATGAGACAGGGAGGGAGCAAAGCCATTCCTACTTCCCTGGCTGCAATGCCATGAAGTGTCTTTAGCATGAGGTTCACTTGTATTGTTCTAATTGTCAGCATATTCTTTACTTTCACACATTAAAATAAGATGAAGGAAACTGTGTGCTAGAGATCAGAGGCCTCCACTGGCTACTGAATTACTGAATCATGGTCCTATTATGGCCTTTGAATATCTCCATGTCTTTAAATCCACATACAATACATAGAGTGGAAAATTTGTAACCATCCACCCCCCCCCCAAGTAACATCATCCCATAGACAAAATTACATAAAACCTCGTAACAGCCTCAGGAAGTAGACACTATGTCCTTACATTTTTTAATCAAGACATTAACATTCCATTTTCAAATGACAGCTCAGTCAACATCAATGTATATGACAGTCCAGTCTTGTAATATTCAGAGGAAACTTGCATTCAACTTTTTCAAAGTGCAAAGACCTGTTTATCTAATGTTGACAGCATGGTGGGGTACACACTATCTACAGCTTGGGTGAATGGAGCTATAGTCTTATGTTCTGAGCTCACACAAGTCGAAAGCCTACACTTCTCTTGCAGGCTCTTCTGAGTCCATGGTCTTTAGAGGCAGCAGTGCCCAGCTCTGGGTTCACTGGTCATTCACAGAACATTCAGTCCTTTCGCTTTGGAGAACAGAATCCTTTTCCTATGGTGGCCCGGGTCTAGCCTTTGGTTTCAGGCCAAAATTGTATTCTTTACAGGCACTTAAGTCCCAAATCCATTCTGTTTTTCTGAATTCTGCCTAAAGAGAGAGAGTCTCTGATCTATACTGAGCATAAAACTAGCTCCCAATTCTTTAAAAGAGAAGACATATCATTGTGTATCTCTCATCTTCTTCCGCATAGCCTGATGGTATTTTCTAGGACAAGATTTTCCTCACTCCACTTTCTTTTCTTGAGCTCATAAATCTCAATTCCAAGTCTTTGTGAAAGAGCTTGGCTATCTCTGAGGATTCAAATCTTGAGTGGCCTCGAGTTTCCAAATCTCCACTAGAGACCAACAGACCAGTTCCCTGTGGGGTACACTTTAAAGTTAGGACTCTAAGCATTTAACATTTCCATTACAGTCTTACTGCCTGTGCTGGGATATGTATCAGCAATACTGCTTTTTCCTTTAAAACATGGTAAACCTCACATTTAGCAGAGGGGAAAAAGCAGAGGAGGAGAATAAGAACAGTGATACAGAGACTACTTGGAAAAACCTTATGTTGGTGTGAGATTTGTTCGTAACACAGTGTTTCAACTAAGCAAAATTTTGTGTTTTTCTTTGCAAAAGAAATCTGAGGTCACTTTATATCTGGGCCACTGTGAGTATGGGCCTAGCGAAATGTTAAGCGCTGCCTTAAAAAGCTGAGAAATGTTGTCACTGACAAAGTCAGAAGCTGAGTCAGGAACAGCTCAGAATGGGTAATAAGGCATAAGATTAGTTAGCTTATCTGTGTCAAGGCAAGTATCTTTTGGGGAGAATGACTTAGGGAAGCTAAAGGCTGGTGGATTTATCAATATCTTTTCTTCCCCTGGTGGTGGTGGTGGAGGGTAATGGAAGAGACACTTCTGTTTAGTTCTCTGCCAGTAGGAAATACCTGTGCAACAATTCAAGTGGGGTGATGAGGAACATCTGGAGAGCCAGTTCTCTTCCCTTTCCCCCTTACCCCAATTCTGTCACCTTGGCTGCAAGGGAACTTTTCGTGGGGTTGGTTGTTCCCCTGGATTGTGGCCTCCTGGGTGTGTGGTGGGAAATGATGGACAGATCAGACCTACAAGGCGCATGTCAGAGGGACTCTGACTGAGAAAGGAAATGTGCTGTCTGAAGCTGCTGCAGGACCTCACTGTCCAGCATGGTCGGTTGTGAATCCTGACTCTGCCCCTCTCTCTAAGCGATTGTGCTAAGATTCTCCTTCACCCTCTCCCCCCACACCCCCAGCAAGGGGAAGGGGCATTTATTGGTATAAGGGGTGCCTACAGAAGGAAATCTTTACCAGTGTGGTGGCAACCACTACATACTACCTGGTTCAACTTTACAATTTACAAATGTGGAGTTTGCACATATAAACTTTCTCTGGACTTGGTGTGCCCCAATCCAGGCCCAGAATGCTACAGTGAAAGTAGCATTTGTGAGTGGTCATCCCACTTAGAAAACTGACCTCAGAAGAATGAAAATCATTCAGAAAACCTGTTAGTCACAGGGAAAATGAGGGTCATGTCTTCAAAAAAGTCCCCAGGTCATTGGGTGGGCCTCTTTCACTATCTTAAGGTGCCAAAGCTGGTTTCTTCAGAAAGACTTTCCCACTAATCTGTTGGAAATGCTTGCTTTCCCCAGCTTTCTCTCCAACTAATTCTTGCTTCCAAATGCTCTTTCTTTTGTCCCCTGAAAGTCAACAAGATGTATGGCATTTCAAGAGTATAATAAGCAGCCCCTCTGCCACAGTGGGTGTCAGTAACCTGGCGTGGCTTGGAGTCTAGGATTACGGAAACAGCAAAATGCTGAAGACTATGCACTGAAATACATCTAGTCTTTTAGCCGAAATCTCAAACATGTTGGGACTGTTACCACGGAATTTCACAAAATCTTTTTTCCTGAGACAGACGCCATGCTACAAAGAAGGATAAGCCATTTGTGCAGTCTGAGGCGGAACATTTTAATTACTGGCAGCACATAAATTAGTTGAGTTTGAGTCTAATGCCTAAGCCCTTTCGAAATACCAAGGCAGATACATAAAATGCGAATCTAACAGGAACTGGGGATTCTTGACTCTGGTAGAAATGTGCGCAAAACTACTCTTCATTTGTAAATAGGTTCCATGAAGTTGTCCCTGGAAGCAGAGTTTATTTTCGCTAACACCAGTTCTTAAAAAGGAAAAAAAAAAAAAGGCTTTGGCAAAGCAGCTGCAGGTGCCACTTTGTGTGTACACTTTGGGGCAAGATCAAAATACCTTCCTGTTTTTGTTCCTCCCCACCATCCTCTTCACATTCATGACTCAGTGGTTAAAGGAAAAATTTAACACTACCATTTGCACACCAAAGAAATGTGAAACAGGTATTCATATCCATATTCTCCTGCTTGATGCCCATGCATTAAAAGGCTTAAAAGATAACTGGGGTTACAGCATAAATCACATAAATTTTAAGCTGGAAGGGACCTTAGAGAGTGTCTAAGCCCAACTCTTATTTTAAGGTTGAAGAAACTCAGTTTTAAGAGTTTAGTGATTTGCCCAAAGTCATATAGCTAATTAGCAGCCAATATGGAATTCACAAACAGATTTTGGGACCCCCTACTGCAGTACTAATTTTACAATTATCCCTGCACTTTTCCTTGAGAGCATGTCTCTCATAATTAACTACAAAGCTGCCCAATACATCTGCAGGACCAAGATCTGACTTTCAGGAATCTTCCTGGCATACAGCAGCTCCACTTAAAATGGGGAGAAAAATCCACCCAGCTTGATCACGGAGAACCTGTCAGCAGAGGTGCGCCCCTCCTTACTTCTTCAGGAAGCTCCTGTGGGGAGGGGGAGAATAGTTCATGCTTTTTGGATTGTTTGGTTGTTTTCTGTCAAAAAAAATCATCAGCAAGTTTGCTTTAGGTCTGTATACTAATGCTCCATGAAGGAGACCAAGAACTTTCAAGTAGCTCTCCCCCCCTCCTCCCGGGGTGCTGCTAAACCATCTCCCCCTCAGAGTCCAGTTCTGCCAGTCTTGATCACAGAACATAGATGCCATAGCAGACAACTTTGTGGAGTTTCAGTTATGGTTTATGTTTAAAACCATTAGTTCTTCTGGTATAGAATTTCTCCTATGATGACTGGTTTAACCCAAAGCAGCTTTTTAATTGCTATGGGAGGGTAAAAGGGTAGATCAAATGACTTGATTTTTTTTTTCATTGTGTGATAAGAAATGGGTCTGATGCTTGGAGACTGGCGTCTTCAGTAACTGATAACAGATACTTATTTTATGGCTGTTCTTTTCCTTACTATTAGACTCTAATTTGGGATGAGGAGATTATATCCTAGACTTCCAGCCTGTGTTAAGTGCAGAAGGGTGTGGCTTCCCAGTGAGGTTAGCTGGTGAGCTCTTCTTTGTGGAACTGGCGTATGACCAAAAGGCTTTTCCACGGACGTATCTCAGAAAGAATGTCTCATGCAGCACAACTGGGGGACTCTTTTGACTGGCAACAAACTCCAAGGACCGCCTGTTCCATTGCTGCAAAAGATAATGACCAAAGACTTCATTGGCTTTTAAATATCATAAAAATTCAAGTCCCTGATGAGAAAACAAATGTTTCACAAAAATGATAACATGATATATCTGCAAACAATTTCTGAATGAAGACAGCGTTTCCCTTTTGCCCATGTGAACATGACCCTTTGGACACTAAGAATGGTATGGAGAGGAGTTCGGAACTGAGTTTGTTCGGAGAATAACTTGTTAGGTGGGGTGTTGGTTTTTACAACTGATGTCGAATACTCAGACGTCAATCATCTCTGGGACCAGATGTTCACTTCAGCATGGCTCTGTGCTCCCCTCTGGCTATGTGAGAAGAGAATTCATACCGATCATGGCTTCGATACCCACACATGTTACACTCAAAAGGGTCACGAAAGCCGTGGCAACCCATGTGAATAGTGAACATCACATAATCCAGGAAGAGGACTCGACAGTGGTCACAGCGATACACATCCATCACCTCCCCTTCTTTGTTGATCACTTTGATGGAGTCTCTTGGACAGATGGGTGGGGGCTTGAGGAGTTCATAAGAGCGGGGGACCTCCTTCAGAAGTGGCATCCCATTGCGGGCCCTAGGGGGGACCATGTGATTTTGCTGGTAGATGTGATTCTGGCGTTCTTCATGGTTGCTATCAGTGTCCGTGGAGTCATGGCCACTATTGTTGGGGGAGAGGCCTCTTTCAGAAGGCAGGCTCTTCTCTGGCAGGTGGATATTCTTCTTTTCTAGGTCCTGGGGGGCACCATTTGGCATCTCGGCACGGGTGAGGGCTATGGGATACATGCTGCTGATAACTGGAACCATCTCTGAGGTGGGAGCAGGTGGGGTCTGGACCAAGGGGCGCAGGGCTTCGGCACCAAGATAGCTGATGGCATTATTGATGGCTTGGTCCATCATCCGGGTCTGTATTATCTCACTCTCTTTCTCGTACATATAGCTGGGATTATAGTTGACATCAAAGCAGTGGCGCTTCTCACCTAGAACAAGTGAAAGAAACAATTACAAGAGGAAGAACACAAAGGCAGAGTTTGTAAAATGATTTTCCAGAGGCCTTGAAAAGGGAGGAAAGACATGGGGCCTGCTTAAGAACACCCAGCCCAGGCAGGATGGTTCCATTCGGTGCTGGGGACAGTCTCAAGGGACAGTGGCTGACAGCACACATTTGGACAGTCAAAATAAATTAAGCCAGCAGGTAAAAGGGAGAGTCAGAGATGTTGATGAGTTGAGGCTACAACGTGAGCTGTTTCCACTGCTCACGTCAGAGGGGAGTGCTGGAGAAAAGCAGAGAAAAAGAAGCGAGAGGACCCCAGGGCAGGGTTTGCAGGGAGCCAGGAAGCTACCACTGTGCAGGCGCGTAGCCACCTCTGCACTTCGACTGTCCATGGACTCTCAACACCCAATCAATTCCCAAACTGTTATTTTGCTTGTTATTTTCTGGTAATACAAGGGCGCTCGGGGAACGGAAGTGCTGCAAGAAGTGGGGACTCTCAGCCACTGGCCTCTGCAACTTTTTAAACAGCTACAGAGGCAGAAAAAATAGCCCCCAAACCTCCAACTTACCAATCCTTAAACACATCGTCACCAGACTGAGATTTAAATAAAAGAACTGCAAATGTACAAAGTCTTAGAAAAGCTTTCTTGAAAGATCGTGGTCTTTGTCCCTTTCATAAAGTATATTATTCTTTTGCTTGAAAAATTGCATCGATACACATGTGATCATTAGGACCCATCCTGCATTTAACTGAAAAATTTACTTGTGGTCACCCTCTCCTACTGCTCATGTCAAACTGCTGAGAAATTCTGAAAACAGAGTTTAGCCACCTTTGGGGCGTGTGGGTGTTGTGTGTTAGAAAACAGAGGCTCTCTGGCCACAGGGAAGGCAGGAGCAGGGTCTGCAGTGATGGCAGATGTGCTCAGTGGTGAGTGGCTGGTAGAAGGAAGAGAAAGCAGGGAGGATGTGTCAAGTACTGAAAGTGAGGCTAAGGTATCGCTGATGATTTTTCATTCTGTAGACACTAGATTCTGGAGAGATTTGCTGAACCATATCCTCTTTTCTGTAACACTCCCTAAGCATGTTATGGTTCCAAAACCTGTCACTGCCATACAGTAAAGGGTCCAATAATGAAAGAACATAAGAAAACAAAAGAATTGGAAGAACCAGTTCCTGTTCTTGAGGTGTCTCCAACCTAGTGCGAGAGAAACAAGACCTGTATCCGTGGAATCGGAAAAAAATAAATGTTAGAAGTTGTGAAAGGGCTGCCCTGCTCTGTGGGGGCCTTTGATTTTATTTTATTTTTAAAGATTTTATTTATTTATTTTGAGAGAGAGAGAGAGAGAGCACAAGCAGGGGAAGCGGCAGGCAGAGGAAGAGGGAGAAGCAGGCTCCACCCTCAGCAGGGAGACTGTTATGGGGCTTGATCCCAGGACCCTGGGATCATGACCTGAGCCGAAGGCAGACACCCAACCATCTGAGCCACCCAGGCGCCCCTGTATATTTAAGTGTTAAGGAAATGCAAAAAACTCAGGAGTACCTGGGGCAGGGAAAGCATTCGTAGAAAACAGATTTTGAGAAGGGTCTTGATGTACTGGTACAACTTAGACTTTCAGAGAGGTCGACAAGACATCCTAACTGAGGGAGGAGCATGACTGAAGGCAGAGAAGTGGCACTATGCAGGACAGGAGCAGGGAAGAGTAAGAGGGTCTGGCTGTAGCTGTATCAGGGAGTATGAAATACAGAATTTTCAACCTTCCCTTATTCCTTCACATTCTGCAATACTGACACCTCAGGGTAGTGTGGTGGTTGAGTGCATGGGTTCTTGGATCAGATGGATTGGCTCTGACGCTGGCTCATCAGTTACTCGTTGCATGACCTTAGGCAAGTTATTTGACATGTCTGTGGCTCCGTGTCCTCATGTGTAATAGGATAATAACTGTATCTACCTCCCATGGTCACTGGGAAGTGCTTGGAACAATGCCTGATACATAGAAAGCACCTGGTAAATGTTAGGGTGTTTTGTTTCGTTGGAATCAGTTCACATTTTCTTTTTTTTCCTGCTAAAATCAATTTGCTTTTTTTTTTAAGATTTTTTATTTATTTTTGAGAGAGGGAGAGCATGTGTGAGCACATGAGTAGGGGTGAGGGGTGGGGGAGGGGCAGAGGGAGAAGCAGACTTCCCGGTGAGCAGGGAGCCTGATGCTGGACTTGATCCCAGGACCCTGAGATCATGACCTGAGCTGAAGGCAGACGTTTAACCAGTTGAGCCACCCAGGCGCCCATGAATTTGCTTCTTAAGTAAACTTTCTATCACTAACATAAACAGAAAGCTAGACTCACCACAAATAGAAGGTAACTATGAAAAATAAAGACAAGGAAACAGAACGATTTATTTAAGTTTTGATCAGATACTGTGACTACCTGGACACAAGATCCCCAATCTTTGTTAAAAACAGAGATTACTGGAGTGCCTGGGTGGCTCAGTCGTTAAGCATCTGCCTTCGGCTCAGGTCATGGTCCTGGGGTCCTGGGATTGAGCCCCACATTGGGCTCCCTGCTCGGCAGGAGGCCTGCTTCTCCCTCCCCCACTCCCACGGCTTGTGTTCCCTCTCTCGCTGTGTCTCTCTGTCAAATAAATAAATAAAATCTTAAAAAAAAACAAAAAACAAAAACAAACAGAGATTACCAAGTGTGAGATTAGTGTGAAAGAAAACTAACATCCAAATTAAGTCTAAATCTTTTTCCTTGGTATAATCAGGAAGATTGAGAGAGAACTAAAAAACGAAATAATTTTCTTGCCCTGTGGGTCTCCTAGCATTTTGCATCCCAGATCTGGGGAGATATTGAAAAAAGTTAACACGTGGTAGAATCAAAAGATGGCATTCTGAATGACCAACCATAAGATTTAGATTTGAATGAAGAGCAACCCGCTTCATGCCCTTGAGCAAGGGAGGCTTGTGTCAAAATGTAATTTTCAGAATATTAATGGAACAGCAAAGTGTAAGACCAGAACAGTGAGGAATTGGAGCCAGAAAGACCAGCTAGAAGATCTAATTGAATAAGATGGATTTGTCCTGCATCCACACTACCTTAAGGCCAACCTGACAGTTTCTAGACAAATACCTGAGAGAAAAAAATCTGCAAAGAAAAACAGCCTGCCTTGGCAACTCAATAAAAAGCAACAGAAAAGTAGACCTTTGCCAAAGTCATCAGTGGTTCTTATTTTCAACTTCCAAATTGGATATATCTTTGATAGCTGTTTGAAAGAGTGAGGCTAGAACATGAAAGCCAGCTAAGGTCACAAATATTCATTCCCCTGAAAGTGACACAGAGATGATGAACTTTGGTTTCTTGGCCTTTTCGAGGTCATTGATGATTTTCCAGTGTGGCTGGCTCTACTCTACTCCTAAAATACCAGGGGTCCCTGAGAATCTTTTTATCTTTTCATCTAACGGAGAGGTTCCAGAAGGTTTCCGGGGTGGGGCAGGCACATCACAAACTGCTTTTATCCTTTCTCCCAAGAGTTTGCTTTACTGAACTAGGCCTACAGTTTCACAGTGTCTACCACCTGCAGCACATGTCAGAAGACAGCTGAGTGCTAAAGTTGTAAGAGGCAAAACAGTAAGAGGAAAATACAGCCCTGGATGAGTGGAAATATGTGACTTGAGTTCTGTGGTTAAGACAGACCATTGTTCACTGTGAAGACAGGAGAGCCTCAGATCTTCACGTGCACGCAACCTGCAATCATCAGATCCCCTCATCTCTGAGTTACGGTAACTTGAGTAGTGCAGATGATTATCAGTCACCTGTAGACATGATGACTCAATGTGTATGAAACCCAGAAGGAGTAAGCTACAGTAATTGAAAAGCCAAGAGCTCACGTTTCTTTAGTAACACACTCATAAAAAAGGTTAGTCAAACCACAAGAGTGTAACTTCTCCCAAACCTGCACAGAGCCTCTAGTCCAGCTTGTAGTCAGAATCATACCACACCTTTGAATGATTAATGATAGCAGCTTCAGGCTGAATTAGAGGTTTCCTTCTGATGAAAGTACAACTGGCAACAGCAAGTCCTGAGTTTAGGAACCAGGGCCATTCCTTACCTGCTTTTTTTTAAAGGGGTTAATCCCTACTATCTAGGCTTTGGTAACTCTAAACTGAGCAACTGGCTGACCCGAGTTGCTACAATGTGGTGAGGGTGTATGGTTGTTGGCTTCTAAGTGCCCAACTTGAAAGTACAGAATCACCGCCTAGAGCTAAAAGGGACCTTAACTGAGCACATGGATTCAGACCTCTGCCTTTGGGGCCGAGTGACAGATCCATCACCCTGATCTGTTTACCTCTGGTTTTTATACTTCACATTACCTAGCACTGTGCCTTATATATAATACTAACAAGAATAGCTACTATTTATTGAGCCTTTACTATATATCCAGTGCTGTCCTAAGTACTTTTTGCATATTCTCTCATTTGCCTAAGATGAATTAGCATCTCTTATCAGATAAGAACCTAACCTACAAACAGGTTAACTTGCCAAGGTCACTTAGTAAATGGAGAGCTAGGATGCAGTCTAAGGGCCCATATATATCTGCCTGTGTCTGAGCATTTTTTTTAAGATTTTATTTTTTATTTTATTTTTTTGGAGAGGGAAAGGCGAGGGGCACAAGGAGAGGGAGAGAGATCTTAAGCACGCTCCACGCCCAGTGTGGAGCCTGACGTGGGGCTCCATCTCACAACTCTGAGATCACGACTTGAGCTGAAATCAAGAGTCAGATGCTTAACTGACTGAGCCACCCAGGCGCCCCTGTGTTTGAGCTTTAATTGCTGTCTCCTGGCTGCCACCTTGTCCATGGCTGCACAATCCCACCACTGGCAGGGATTTCAGATTCTCTGCTGGCATGGTTCCCATAAGCAGTGGACAAGCAACTGTGCTGTGTTCCAAATGGACTAGCACCGTGCATCAAGAAGTATCTATGATGCATGG